AACCCATTGTTGTACAACCCTCAGTGTCATTTATTTATTGTAAAACGAATCTTTTTCCTGCACTTAGCAAGCTAAAGGGCACCTTAAGGTCAAATTGCAAATGTTTTAGTGCCAGACTCAACGGGCTTCCTGAGGAGGTGCCTGAAAATATCTGGGACCTTCTTTTCAACTCTCAAATTCTAGGCCCTGGTAATCAGTTAACTTCTTGGGCTCCAGCAGCAGCACCAAAATTTTCAAGTCTATTGGAAAGATAAAGTACAGCCAAGGAGGTTAAGAAGTCATAGCAGGACCATGAAAACTTGGCAAAAAATAATTCTGTGACCTCAGTTGGAGGGTTCACTGTCGCACTGAATAGACCATACACAAACCTGTACCCTTAGTAAACCTGAAGTAGTTTCTCTCTCCTCCCTGAGACTGATGTTCCATTCATCTACTTGAAAATATTCTAAGTGGTCAGTTCAATGACCAAAGCCATAGAAACTATTTTTTATAACTGCCCCCCACACGAAGAGATTAGAATCTGCTTGTGCCAAATCTCTCATCAATGTTGGATTAGGTAACTAGAACCAACAAATCCCTCAACAATTCATTACTAACCTTGAAAGAATACTTAAATGCCAGAATTGAAGAGGAATTACTATATTCCTATAGTTTTATCAGTCTACTAGTCTCAACATCAATTCCCTCAACATACCAGAGGGAATTCTATTTATAGATTTCTAATAAGAAATCTAAATCTAAGTGAGTAAAACACTGATACTCTACATTACAACTGTGGTGGGAAGAAACCAACCTATTTCTTTGGAATCCTTCCAATGCTACATAAGTACCAAATACGTCAATCTCTGGCAGACCTTTCTACTCATCTTACAGGGCCACTGAACAGATAAATAGATGTAATTCTATCTTCTATCACAAACCAATTCTGAACCACATTTCATGATCAAATTCCCAGGCCACAGATATTTCCCACACAATCTGGATTCAAAAAAAGTTCTCTGAAAGAGAATAACATGTTTCTTCCCATGATCTCTTTATTTTATTTACATGGCAGTTAATCTAGGAAAAGGGAATGGACCAATTAGCAAAAGCAGAAGCAGCATCACCCAGGGTATTCTTTTGAAAGTGACTGCACTTTCTAACCTACCAAAGTAAATAGTTAAAGATCATATAAATTACTTTTTTGAAGTCAAATGCAGTCTTTCAAGAGAGTTGCTATGATCGTTAGTAATGAAAAAAAATTGAAAAAACTGATAGTCTTACCAACATCCAGCAATCACATTCCTAGATATTTACACAACATATCTGAAAACTTCTATCCACATAAAACCTGTACACAAATGTTTATGGCAGCTTTATTCATAATCACCACAAGCTGGAAGCAACCAAGATATCCTTTAAGAGGCAAATGGATAAACAAACATCTATACAATAAAGTATTATTCAGCAATAAAAGAAAATGAGCTATCAAGCCACAAAAAGAAATGGAAGAATCTTACATGCATACTATTAAGTGAAAGAAGACAGTTTGAAAAGGCTAGATACTGTATGATTTTAATTATGTTATAATCTCGGGTGGGAGGAACTGGATGAAAAAAGTGAAGGGATTAAGAAGTACAAATTGATAGTTACAAAATAGCCATGGAGACGTAAAGTACAGCATAGGGAATATAGTTTATAATACTGCAATAACTATATATGGTGCCAGGTGGACACTGAAAATATCATGGGAACACTTTGTAAAGTATATGATTGTCTAAACACTACGCTGTACACCTGAAACTAAAATAATACTGACTGTAAACGGTAATTGAAAAATAAAAATTTTTTTAAAATTATGTGATATTCTGGAAAAGGCAAAACTACAGAGATTGGTAAAAAGATGAGTTGTTGCTGGGACAGGAAGAAGTAGTCAGGAATGAGAGGTTGTGGAAGGAAAAGGAGAAGGACAGAACAGGTGAAACGGGATTCTCCATGAAACTGTAACAACGGACACAAGACACTTTATTTGTTCAAATCCATAGAACTGAAGAAAGCAAAGAGTGAGCTTTCATGTACACAATTTTTAAAAAATCACTGAAGAGGTTGGAGGATCTCAGGATGGAATGCAAAATGTGACAGAATCTGTCACAAACATATGGAACAAGTCAATGAAGGGGCTGGGGATACAGATTAGTAATTCTGATACTGCTATACATGTATACTGAAATTGAATAATTTAAGTCAATGGATGGCAGATGGTAGAAGACAGGTATCCCACTGTTGAAGTTACAGATAAGAAAAGGAGGCTAGAATGATCCACATGCTAACAGATTAAAATTGCAGATATTAATATAAACTCATGTTTAGCCTCATACAGTACAGAAGTTACATATGGAAATACTTACAGGTATGTGTATACACACTGGTTAAGTATGCACATGTATTTCACTGCTCTGTCAGCTTAAGGGCAATACCCAGTAGCAGTGAACATGCCTAGTGCCCAGATCATGGTTTGAAATACCATTCTCCAATAAAAGACAACAGGGCTCCTTAGAGACATGGCTGATTCTAGGGCTGGGGCAGGAAACACAGAAGATAAACCTGGAGCCTCTTATAGTGCTAGAAAATAAAGAACTACTGGTAAAAAACCAGTTTGTTTGTTTGTTGTTGGTTTTTGTTTCCCAAGGGCCAAAGCTAAAATGATGAGCACTAAAATAAAAAAATAAAGCAGTATTGAATTTAGTCCATGCTGATAAAAATACATGATTGACTAAATAAATACATGGGGGAGAAATCTCTGGTGCAGAAGAATTCCAAATAATTTATGTAGATACTCTGCATAACTCCTCACTCTTTAGGTGTGGGCTATATACAGTGACTTCCTTACAGAGAGCACAGCTTGTAAAAGGGGGAAAAGAAGTCACTTTACAGAAGAAACCTCACACACACTACCTCAGCCAGGTAATCAAGGTCAACATCAAAAGTCATAAACCATTTTGATAGTATGTAATGAAAATAATGCTTTATCTCTGTGGTCTTCCTCCCCAAAACACATAACCCCAGTCTAATCGTGAAAAAAACATCAAATAGCAAATGAGGGATATTCTACAAGATATCTGACCAGTATTTATCAAAACTATCTAGGTCATCAAAAACAATGAAAGTCTGAGAAACCATCAGAGCCAAGAAGAGACATGGCTACTAAATGTAATGTGGTATGCTGGATAGGAACCTGTAACAAGGACATTAAGAAAAAAACTAAGGCGCCCTGGCAGATATGGCTCAGTGGTTAGAGCACTGGCCTGTGCACCTAAGGGTCACAGGTTCGATTCCTGGTCAAGGGCACATACCTGGGTTGTAGGTCCAATCCCTGGCCTGGTCGGGGTGCATGTGGGAGGCAACCAATCTATGTGTGTCTCTTGCATCAACGTTTCACTCTCTCTCTTCATCCCTCCCTCCTTTTCACTCTCTAAAAAATCAACAGAAAAAAACCCTTGGGTGAGGATTAACAACAACAAAAAAACTAAAAGAAAAGAAAGAAAAAAACTAAGGCAATCTGAATAATATAGACTTTAATTAATAATAATGTACCAACACTGGTTAATTAATTGTAACAAATGCACCATATTAATGTAAGAAGTTAATGACTGAGAAAATATGTAGAAAAAATAATATATAATGGTTAATAAAGATGATCTCCAAGTGTATGAGATTATAAACTGCTTGAGTATTTAAACTTTTAACAAACGAGTAAATATTTTTGGTAAAGAAAAAAAGGTTTTGTTTGTTTTTTTAAAGAGAGAATAATACAACAAAGTAACAAAGGTTAAACTCTAAATGGAAAGACTCATTTTCTATCCAAGTATTCTACAGTTTTTGAAAGGACACAGAAGTAACAATTCAATTTCAGTCTCAGGTTTTCAATCATTGTCAATTCAGACAGTTACTTAAGAAGCACTAAGAGCCTTGGCCAGTATGGCTGTGGTTAGAGTGCCAGCCCATGCACCAAAGGGTGAAGGGTTCGATTCTGGGTCAAAGGCAGGTACCTGAGTTGCAGGTTTGATCCCTGGCCCCGGTTGGGGCACATACTGGAGGCAACCAATCGATGTGTCTCTCTCACATCTATGTGTCTCTCTCTCCCACCTCCCTTCCCTCCTTCCCTTCCACTCTATCTAAAATCAATGAAAAAATATCCTCAGGTTAGGATTAACAACAACAAAAAAGCACTGAAGTACCTTGAAATACATATTTTCTTAATTTTCAAAATTTCAGTAGTTTATTCACAGAATCAGGTATTTTCAAAACTTAAAAATGATGACCCGATACTGGTGTCACACAGATTCTAGTGAATCTGTTACAATTCACTATTATATAACAGATTCACATTATTTTAGTGAATATGTTATACAGCAAATCAGATTTTAGTGAATTAACTATGCTTCTATAATGAGCCAATAGCATTCAACAATTTGTTAGTACTAAACAAAAGTGGACATCAACACATCCTAGTGTACACTCTCTGGATGTGCCAGTAGGGACAGTGAATACAGCAAATTAAAAATTGTCAATCTGTCAGAAACTAAGATCACAGAGATTTCTACACAAGTCACTTCGTCTTCTCTAATTGAGGCTGGGAGCCAAATCACAAGAAGAAGTTATTTAAGAATCCCCTGGAACAGCACAAGTGCAGGTTCAACTCAGACATTACTATGACCATCAGTCACCAGATTAAAAACGGTATCACTTCTGTCTACATGAACTCTAGACAGATTTTTTCTTGAAGAAAGGGAAGTGGTAGGAAAAGGCAGGGAACTGGTGTGAGTCTCTAACAGCTTATTACTTTTCCCTTAATATCTTATAGCTCTGGAATAAGAGAACCGTGCTATATTTTTGTGAAGATCTGCCAGCATCCTTTTGTATTAGGGTAATAAAGGACTTGTTTAAAGAATAGCAGTGGATAAGAACTTATAGCCCTCAAACATCAGGTTAAGAAGAAATATCAACTTGCTCCAACTTACAAGAGTTGTGCCGACGACGGAAACTTTTGGACTGACTCAAGGTCTCCATGTGCCTGTCCACATAGCTCTTGGAGCACTGCTGCTGCTGGGGGGAAACGGCAGCATCCTGGCTCTTCACATCTGTCCTCTTAGGGATGTTCTGAGGGGCACTGCTGGAAGAGGTTGGCTTCTTGACCAACCTGCCTGTGCCATTCTGATTGATACCCACTTGGTACCCAACACCAGAGGGGCCTAAGTCTGTCTGATGAAGGTCTCCAAAATGTTGGTTTTCTCCAGGACCTGGTATCTCCAGAATTTTTAACTCCATAATGTCACCTGCCCTGAAATACACAAAAGAATCCAATTCTCAAAACTATAATAGTGGTAACAGTGATGAAACTGGAATCAATAGCAACCAGCTACACCTTTGCAGGGCTGTATTTCAATGAGTTATCAAAGGCAAAAACTAGGAAAGGTGGTAGAGCACTTAAAGACAAGACTAAGCCACCAACATTCAACTGACACAGAACTGGACTTTAAAAAGCCCTAGTGTTAATCACAAAACTATCATTAGTATCTTAGATTTCCAGAATGCTTAATAGCTTTTTTTCATTCATTCATTCACTTGCTCATTCAGTAGGCATGTACACAGTACTTACTATGTGGCAAGCCCTGCAATGGGAATGGGGTATATAGAGATGAAAAGCAATACATGCCACAAAGAACTCACAGTCTGATCAGCAGAAAAGACAAGTAGACAATCAAAAGTGTTAAATACTATTGACAGAAGTGTGCGTAGGAGACCAGAGAACCCAAAAGGAAAATATGGACATTAGTCTGGCAGAGATGGATAAAACACATACACTAAATCTGGGTGGGGATGGAAAATACATGTTGGCCAAGCAGGAGAGGCATCTCAGGCCAAGGCTCAGAGACTAAGAAAATGTGGCCCATTTGATGAACTACAAATGTTATGGTGTGACTAAAGGGAAGGATGCTTGTGGAGGGCCATTAGGAGGTAAGGCCTGTGAAGGTAATCAGGGGCCAGTCATAATCACATTGGCTTTTTCTTTTTTTTTAAATATATCTTTATTGATTTCAGAGAGAGGAAGGGAGAGGGAGAGAGAGAGATAGAAACATCAATGATGAGAGAACCACTGATCGGCTGCAGCCCACAACCCGGGCATGTGCCCTGACCAGGAATCGAACCCTGATCGCCTGTATCCTAGGTCGATGCTCAACCGCTGAGCCACACCCGGCCGGGCCACATTGGATTTTTCTGGTCGCTGTAGGTAGAGAAACTAGAAGCAGGAGCCCCAGTCAGGAGACCACATAAGAATAAGAGGGGATAAACAGGGCAAGTGACAATGAAAAACGAGAAAGGAATGTGGAACCATGAGACATTTGGAATCCACAGAATTTGGTGATAGGAGGATCAAAGAGAAAGAAGAATTAATTATGATTCTTAAGTTTCCAATTTGAGTGAAAGGTGTTATTAGTCACCTATTAAGGGTAGATTTTTGGGGGGGGGAAATCTGCAGGTAACATGAGTTCAGCTTTGAAAATCTTTTTTTTTAATGTTTTTATTGATTTGAGAAAGAGAGAGAGAAACATTGATTGGTTGCCTCCCACATGTACCCTGACCGGAGATCAAACCTGCATCTTAGGTATGTGCCCTCATCAGGAATCAAACCAGTGACCCTTTGGTGCACGGAATGATGTTCAACCAATGGAGCCACACCAGCCAGGGCAGCTTTGAAAATCTTAAATTGAAGATTTAAGGATATCCACCTTGAAATGACCAGTAGACAATTAACATAAAGTGTCTGGAGCTCAGAAAATGGTTCTAAATTAAATATTTGGTATAGGCAAACAGAGAAGTCATCAGTAATAACAATGGTCAGTTTATAAATTTCTCATGGGGACAAATGACATGATATATGCAAATCATTAAGTCTAGTAATTAGTTATTAAGAATACAATAAATGTTTATTACTACTACTAAAAAAATATTTGGGGTCTCATTAATGTATAAGAGGGTACACATGAGATTGTCTAGAGAGTACAGAATGAGAAAAGAATCAAAGATAGAAATTTGAGTAACCCAATCTTAAAAAGTGAGAAAAAGAACCTGGAAAAAAAGAGATATACAGGAATGGAGGAAAACATGGAAAGAAAACCCAAAGTGGTGACAGAAAAACTTAAAAAAGAAGACATTTCAAAAGTTAGGGAGCATTTAGATAGATTATAATTGAAACACTGCCACTGAATCTGGCAGTTAGGTTATCTGAAACCCTGGCAAGAGCTAGTTCAGCAAAATGGTAAAGTTAGAAAAAAGATAAGGGGGGCTAAGGAGCAACTAGAGAATGAAGCCACAAAGGGAATGAAGGCAGACTATTTTACTCTGAAAAGAACTGTGGGTGTAAAGAGAAGTAAATGATAGTTGCAAATGTAAGTTGTATGTGAGATGGGGGAGTGTCTGTACTACAGGGAATGTTAAAATGCAGAGGAAAGATAGTATAAATGTTGAAACTAGAGACACAAAAAAGATGGATAAGGGCCCAGCCGGGTGTGGCTCAGCAGTTGAGCATCAACCTAGGATCCAGGAGATTACAGTTCAACTCCTGGTCAGGGCACATGCCCGGGTTGCGGGCTTGAACCCTAGTCAGAGACAGCCGATCAATGACTCTATCACTGATGTTTCTCTCTCTCCCCCTCTCCCTTCCTCTCTCTGAAATCAATAAAGATATATTTAAAAAAAAAAAAAAAAAAAGATGGATAGGGTTTCAATGGAGATAGAAAAGGATAGCATATAAAGCATACATGTTAAGGTGAGTCCTGAACACAAAGGATATTTTTTCTACTGAGACTTCAGAGGAGGTAAGAAATAAGATTGGGCCCGGCCGGGCATGGCTCAGCAGTTAAGCATCAACCTAGGATCCAGGCGATCAGGGTTCGATTCCCAGTCAGGGCACATGCCCGGGTTGTGGGCAGCAGCCGATCAATGACTCTCTCATCATTGATGTTTCTCTCTCTCTCTCCCTCTCCTTTCCTCTCTCTGAAATCAATAAAGATATATTAAAAAATAATAATAATAAGATTGGATACATGTAGAGAAAAGGTTATGTGTGGATATTGTTCAGAAAGTTAAGGAAGCTCTTGCCTGACAGTTTTTTGGTTTTTTTTTAACAGAAGTTTGCTGCACTGGTGAAAAGAGGGATGTGAAGACAACTGAACTTCAGATATGCAAACACTAAGAAAAACACATCCCTGTAACTAAGGACCTTAACTACTGACTACAATGTGCTTCCGGAGATAAATTATGATATAGGGCTACAACGAGAGCTACAGTTATGCAGGGGAAAATCATAAACAACCTTAGATTAAGAAAGCACAGTGATACAAAATCTGAAACCATAAAAGAAAACAGAAAGGTTATTCCGAATTTGACTCATTTAAATAATGTAATACTACTGCGTGCTTGGTAGAGAGAAGAAAAATGTTTCACAATCCCTGAACCATTAGCTGAAAGCTAATTATAACAGTTACTGAAACAGCAGCAGGACTACAAGATCAAAGATTGCAAAATCTCATCTCTGACAAGAAGACTCTACTGAAAAGCAGCCCTACACAAGAGAATATTGGCAATCTGGCCTAGGTTCAAGCTCCACAGACCACCAGATTAGATTTGGAAGAATCAGTCAGGACACTTACCTGAAGGTGACTTCTGGCACAAGGCACTTCACTCCATTGTGGAAAGGCCGGGTGAGAGAAATGGTCTGGCTGACCTGATCCACTGCTGAAACTCTTCCCTGATAGACACCCAAGCTATCCCCACAGTTGATGGACACAATACTGCCTAGCCAATCCGTAGCCATGTTTCGGATGTGAGACCACTGTGGAGAGAAGAAACCAGGCAGTGTACTTTGAGAAACAAACAAATCTTTTTTTTTTTTTTTTAAATATATCTTTATTGATTTCAGAGAGAGGAAAGGAGAGGGAGAGAGAGAGACAGAAACATCAATGATGAGAGAGTCACTGATCGAGCCCATGACCTGGGCATGTGCCCTGACCGGGAATCGAACCCCGATCGCTTGGATCCTAGGTCAACACTCAACCGCTGAGCCACACCCGGCAGGGCAGAAACAAACAAATCTTTAATTAAATTCAGTAAAGAATTATGCCAGGCTCTGTATCACATGTTGCTTAATAATACATATTCTGTCACATCCTTAATTGATGTAATAAAACATAAAAAATGAAACTATTTTTCAAAAGGAGTATTTATATTAATGAAAAAGCAGTATCATTTAATATGTATACATAAAGATCTTATAGTTGCTTTGAAGCACATGTACTGGATAAAGATACATATTTACTCAGACATCAAATGACACAAAATATAGGTTTATAACCTATATTTTAATATATCTGCCATCAGAATGCTTTTAAAAGAATATATTATAAAGAAATAACATACAAAAAATAATATTGGTAATGTCAGAGAAGCTCATATCAGATTAACCCTCTGTGATAATGATAAATTCTGGACAATTTTTTTTTTTTAAAGCTGCCGAAGGTATTACAGAACACTACATCTAACAACTACAGAATATACATTCTTTTTAAGTCTACATGGAATGCTCACCAATGTATGCTGGGCCTTAAACTAGTATCGATTCATTTCAAAGGACTGAAATCAGACAGTATATTTTTGGTCCGCAACAAAATTCAATTTGAAATTGATAATAAGATATCTCAAATATTTAGAAATTAAGAAAGACATTTCTAAATAACCTATGAGTTGAGGAAGAAATCAAAAAGGAAAGTTAGAAAATAGTTCAAACTCAGTGATAATGAAAATACAACATTTGTGGGATAAACTTAAAACAGGACTCAAAGGGAAAATTAGAGCTTTAAGAAATTATATTTAGAAAAGGAGAAAAGTTCAAAACCAATGACTTAAGAAGCTAGGAAAAAAAGAGCAAATTAATCCTAAGTAATTAGAAAGGAAATAAAAAGCAAAAATCAATGAAATAGGAAACAATTCAGAAAAATAAACAAAACCAAAAATTAGTTATTTGAAAACAATAGTTTATAAATCTTTAACTAGATTAATCAAGAAAAAAAGATAAAACACATATTGTAATAAGAGAAATGAAAAAGGGGCCCAACCGGCATGGCTCAGAGGTTGAGCATCACGACCTATGATCCAGGAGATCATGGTTCAATTCCCAGTCAGGTCACAGGCCCAGGTTGTCGGTTTGATCCCCAGTGGGGGGCATGCAGGAGGCAGCCAAACAATGACTCTCTTATCATTGATGTTTTTATCTCTCTCTCCCCCTCTCCCTTCCTCTCTCTGAAATCAATAAAGAAATATTTGGGGGGGGAGGGAAGAAATTAATAAGGGGACATCACAGGCATTAAAGAGATAACTTTATGCCAGTAAATCTGACAACTTACATGAAATAAATCTTTGAAACACACAAGTTACCAAAACTGATACAAGAAGAAAGAAAATCCAAGTAGTTTTATATCCATTTTAAAAACTGAATCCATCAAGAAAATGAGAAGACAAGCTATACACTGAGAGAAAATATTTGCAAAAAACAAACCTGATAAAGGATTGTTATCCAAAGTATATAAAGACTTCAAACTCAACAACAGAAAATGAACACTCTGATTTTAAAATTGGGCAAAATATCTGAACAGACGCCTCAGCAAAGAAGATATATAGATAGCAAATAAGCAAATGACAAGTTGCTCCACATCATACGTCATTAGGGAAATGCAAATTAAAACAACAATGAGATCCTACTATATACCTATCAGAATGGCCAAAATCCAAAACACTGACATCATCAAATGCTGGCAAGGATATGGACCAACATGAATTCTCATTCATTGCTGATGAGAATGCAAAATGGTACAGCTACTTTGGAAGACAGTTTGGTAGTTTCCTACAATACTAAATATACTCTTACCATATGGTCCAGCAATCAACACTCCTTGGTATTTACCCAAATGAGCTGAAAACCTATGTCCACACAAAAACCTGAGCACAGATGTTTTAAAAGCCTTATCTATAACTGCCAAAATCTGGAAGCAACCAAAAGGTCCTTCATGTAAGTCAATAGACAAAAAAACCGTGGTATACCTAGGCAATGGAATATTATTCAGTCCTAAAAAGAAATGAGTTAAACCACAAAAAGACACCGAAGAACTTAAATGGATATTACTAAGTAAAAGAAGCCAATCTATGTACTCTATAATTCCAAATATATGATATTCCGGACAAGGCAAAGCTATGGAGACAGTAAGAAGATCAGCAGGTGGCAGGGGCTTTGTGGGGAGGCAGGGAGGTATGAACAGGTAGAGCAGAAGGATTTTTAGGGCAGTGAAACTATACTGTATGATACTATAATGGTGGATACATTTGTCAAAACCCATTGCCCTAGCCAGTGGCTTAGTAGTTAGAGCATCGGCCCACGGACTGAAGGGTCTCAGGTTCAATTCCAGTCAAGGGCACATACCTCAGTTGCAGGGGGTGTGTGCAGGAGGCAACCAATTGATGTGTCTCTCTCACACTGATGTTTCTCTCTCCCTTCCACTCTCTCTAACAAGCAATGGAAAACATATCATCAGGTGAGGATTTTTAAAGAACCAAAAACCCATAGAAGTACAACATGAAGAATGAACCCTAATGTAAACTAAGGATGTGTTAATGTAGGTTTGTTGACTATGAGAAATGTACCACTGTGATGGAAGATATTGATGGTTGGGGAGGCTATGCCTTAGTGGGGGCTGGGGGTATATGGAAAGTCTCTGTGCTTCCTGTTCAATTTTACTATGATCCTAAAACTGTTCTAAATGATAAAGTGTATTTACAAAAGAAAATAATTGATTGAATCTTTAATTTAAAATCTTTACACAAAACTCCAGGCTTAGATGGCTTCACCAGTGAAATTTTACCAAACATGTAAAGAAGAAATAATGCCAATCTTTTTCAAACTTTCCGAAAATACAGAATGAAACACTTCCCAACTCATTCAACAAGTCCTGCATAACCCTGATATGAAAGCCTGACAAAGGCATTAAAGAAAAAAAAAAAATCAATGTCCTAGCCCAGCTAGTGTAGCTCAGTTGGTTGAGCATCATCCCATGTACCAGGAGGTAGACGGTTTGATTCCCAGTCAGGGCACAAGCCCAGGTTGTGAGCTCGATCCCTAGTAGGGGGTGTGCAGGAGGCAGCCAATCCATGTTGTTTTCTCATCGATGTTTCTATCTCTCACTCCCTCTCCCTTCCTCTCTCTGAAATCAATAAAGATATATTTAAAAAATAATAAAATAAAATATATCTTTATTGACTTAAGAGGGAGTCGGGGAGAGAGCGCTGAAACATCAATGACGAGTCATCACTGATCAGCTGCCTCCTGCACGCTCCTGACTGGGGATAGAGCTGCAACCTGGGCATGTGCCCTGACCAGGAATCGAACTGCCACCTCCTGGATCCTAGGTCGATGCTCAACTGCTGAGTCACGCCCGGCTGAGCAATAAAGATATATTTTTTAAAAACACAAAAACCAGAGTTTGTTCTTGTGTTATTATTTATTAATTATTGTATTATTTTCCATACAAACAACTGTAAACCTACTTTTGCCCATCTCTCTATATAAAAAGAATTATATACCATAACTAAGGGATTTAGTTCAAGAATGCAATGCTGTTTCAATATTATAAAACAAATCAATATAATCTACCATACTTATAGGCTAAAGAAGAAAAACCACATGATCACAGCAATTGATGCAGAAAAAGCATTTGACAAAGTTCAACACACGTAAATGATAAACACTCAGAAAAATAATTTTATCAATTTGATAAAGACCAGCTATAAAAAACTTACAGATAACATTACACTTATGGTTAAAATCGGCATGCTTTCCTCCTAAAATCAGGAACTAGATGAGAGTGTCTACTCTCACCAATACTGTTCAACATAGTACTAGAACTTCTTATAATAACGCAAGCAAAGGAAATAAAAAGCACACTGATTGGAAAGGAAAAATAAAACTGTTCTTATTTGCAAATGACATGATTGTCAACAGAGAAAATCGCAAAGATTTACATAACAAATTCTTAGAATAAGTGAATTCAGTAAGGTCACAGATACAAGACAAACATACAAAGTCCATCTTATTTAGTTTTATTTAAATTTTTTTAATCCTCACCTGAGAATATTTTTCCATTGCTTTTTCAGAAAAAGAGGAAGGGGGAGAAAGAGAGAAACATCGATGTGAGAGAGACACAATGACTGGTTGCCTCCTGCACGTGCCCCAATCAGGGCCAGGACAGAGCCTACAACCGAGACAGTGCCCTTGGCCAGAACTGAACCTGGGACCCTTCAGTCCACAGGCTGATGCTCTAACCACTGAGACAAACCAGCTAGGTCCATCTTATTTTATTATATCAGTAATAAACCAATGAACACTGAAATTTAAAATGCAATACCATTTACAATTACTCAAAAAATGAAATACAAGGTAGAAATCTAACAAAACATTTACAGTATTTATATGCTGAAACTATACAATGCATATAAAAAAATCAAAGTTATAAATGGAGAGACATACCATGTTCATGGATTAAAAGACTCAACATATGTCAATTCTTCCCAAATTAGTATAAAGGATTAATGCAATCCCTATCAAAATCCCAGCAAGATTTTCTGTTACTATAAAGATTACATATGGAAAGGCAAAGGAACAAAAATAGCTAAATCAATTTTGACAGGAAAATAGGAGGAATCAGTCTAGCAATCAAGACGGGAATTTGTGGGAGGATAATCAATGGAATAAAAAAGAAAACCCAAAAATAGACCGAAGCACACAAATACACCAAACTCCTTTTTGAGAAAGTGAAAAGTAATCCAAAGGAGGCAACATAGCTTTT